ATCTGATCAGGAATTTGACATCAAACAGATGGGGTCGGATCTAACGTTGCTATTTCTCAACTTTGTGTCTTGGCAAAGTAGTACATCCCCTTTCTGGGCTCGTTTCCTCATCTCTAAAATGGGGGTGACAATCTGTGCTTGGGGGATGCATGGAGACAGTGGGCTGGGCGCACAACAAGTGTGTGATGGATTTTAGCCAGGCTGTTGTCCTCCTTTCCTTCCTCTTTCCTTCCCCGCCTTACTGAGAGCTGTATTTTTCCATCCAGGCTGCTACTCCCCTGCTACAAGTGTGTGCATTGTTTGGGAGCTGGGCTGAGACGAGGTTGTGCGCTGCAAACACAGCCACTGTCGCTGGCCTACAAATGTCACATTCGTCCAAATAGCAATTTCAGGGCAGACTTCTTTTCTGATTTGTTGGTGCTCCTGAAAAATTAAATGGAGAGAATACTGAGGTGTCAGGAACATGATGGACTCATTGCAGAAGCAGGCTGCTCTTCCTCACCTTCAGTGCTGAAAAATGAGGCTCTGAAAACCCTGAGAGTAGGGACTCAGTCCACTCTTCCCCCAAAGCAAAGGGTGTTCCTTGTGATCTGAATGCCCAGGGGCCCTGTAGGCCCTTGCTTGGGGAGTAGACCCTCAAGCCCGATTCAGACTCTCTGGCATCTTTCCCCTCCCTCCACTTCTGTCTGGAACCAGGGGCCATAGGATAGGCTGAATGCTTACTTAATTCTTCTTAGACTCAACTTTACTATAATTTCCATATGATAAACTGCACCCATTTTAAGGGTCCAGTTCGATGAGCTCTGGCAGAAGTCCACATTCATCAATCTTCCCTGACACTCAAGACACAAAACATTTCCATCATCCTAATAACGTTTTTTTTTTAAATCCAGAAAAGTTACAGCCACCCAGAAAGTGCACAGATTAATATTATCAAATGATGCTGACAAATCTATCACTAAGATTTAGCAAATGTTACATTTTGCCATATTTGCTTGGATTTGTCTTCATTTCTTGCTCCTTCCTTCTCCTTCAGTTCATCCATGCTCCATTATAGAGAAATAACAGTTCTTTTAAAGAAATGAAACATAATAGGGACATTTGGAGCTGTCTACACACCAGTCCCCAAGAGTAACCATGGTCACTACCCAGCTTTGAAAGGTAACATGTCTGCCCCATGTTTTGAGACTTTTACTGCATTGTGTGTGATCACAGATCATATACAACATGGCAGGGAATGGTTTTGATATCTGCATCAAATAATGTGTAGGATTTGTGTTCTTTTGCAGCATAATTTTACTCCACATGTGCTTTTTAAGATTTATCCACTTTTTTAGAAGTACAGTAGACCTAGTTCATTTGCCTTAATAGAGTAAGAATATTTAAAATTTACTCGTTCAGTCTCCTACTGGTAGGCATTTAGGTTGCTTCCCATGTTTCTTCCTAATAATATTAGTGCTGTGGTAAATATCCTTGAGCCTATGTACAAACATGACTGTAACCCATGAACAGGAATTTACCTGAAAGTAGGATTACTGGGGCATAAACCCATAGAGCTTATAGATCTCCAACTTTATGAGGCACTGTTATTCTGGAATCTCATTTCTCACCCTTTTTCCTTTGGAATCCTTGAGCTTTTTTCCCATTTCACCAAAGGCAGAGAGTAAATTTGTCCAAAATTTTCAAGTTATTTTATGGGAGGGGGTCAATTCTCAGAAACATATTTTTCATCTCTCTGTGCCATTTGTTTATTTCCTTTTCTTTCATTTCAAAGTTTTTGCTTATGTGTCCTTTTGTTTCTTTCTTAATCATTGAATAGGATTCTGTTTAGGATTTCTATTTGCCTCTGACTATACTGGACGGATTTTCTCCCCTGATCCTCATACTTTACTTTGGCAGGTTCGGATTCATCATTCTAGAACTTTCTATGTGTATATATATTTGGATGATGTCAAGAAAGAGTTAGGAGGTCACAAAATGACCGGAAAATAAACAGTGATTACTTCAAGGTAGGATTGGAGGGTGAGAAAGACTATTCACTTTTTATATACAAATCTCTTTTGAAACATTGGCAAACATTATGAATATCCAATAAAATTTATAAGTGACTGCATTACTATGTAAAAAGATGCTTGACCTTGTTGATATCCAATGAAATGTAAATTAAAACAACCTTGAGACATCTCTTGCACATCAGATCAGGAAAAATTTACAATTTTATAATACCCAATTTGGTGATGGTATTGGGAAAGATGCACTATCTCAAGAATTTTTTTTTAAAAAGGGAGCTTCAGGACTAGATCATATAACTGAAAACACCATATCAGGCATCTAAAACCCATGCAGAAATAGGCCCATGGGCAGCTTGTTAGACTTTGTGTATCAGGCTCTCACTAAAGAAATATTTTGAATACTTTCAAGAATATTTATGGAGAAATTCAAGATCAGACTTTATTTTGCATTAGGGTTGCAGATTGCCTTCGGCTTTTTCAGACTGCTATATTTTGCCTAAAATGTTGATTTCTCCTCTGGTTTCTCCTCTAGCAAGAGTTAGATGTGACCAAATGTATCAATGTTATAAAATAAATATGCAGGGGCTGGGGATTTAGCTCAGCGGCAAAAGCGCCTGCCTGGCAAGCGCAAGGTCGTGAGTTCGGTTCCCGGTACTGGAGAAAAACCAAAAAAAAAAAAAAAAAATATGCAGAGCTTCAGGGTTTCAGGTCTGTCAAGGTGACTTTGGAGCCCATGTGGGTGGATTCTATCCTCAAACCTACTCTGGAGAAGCCACAGACATGGGAGGAAATGTGGATTTGAGGAACTGAGAACAGTGAGAATCTACTGGGCTGTTAGAAGGTAGCTTTCAGCTGGAGTATGTGTGTGAGCGTGTGTTTGTGTAATACGTATGCACACTCATGTGTGCTGGGGAGGAGGGATAGGGCACCCAGAGGCAGGGGTGGGAAGGGAGGTCAGGGAGCTGATTTTCAATCCTGCTGCTCATTAAATTCATCCTTGGAAGCTTTTAAAAACATTCACACCAGGTAACAGTAACATGTGGCAAAATGTCCTTGTTCCTAGCAGATTCACTTTGAACCATTAGAAGTCTGTGACTCGCTTTCACATATATCAGCAAAACTCCTCAAACAGAGAGGAGAGCAAGGGAGGGAGCAAATGTGGCAATTTAGGGTGGACTATAGTGGTATTCACTGTACTATTTTTTCCCTACAGTTTTGTAAGCTCATTCCTTTTCCTTCTCCTCTCCCTTTCTTCTTTTTTTTTTTTTTCCAAAATACAATGTTAAAAAAAATCAATATCCGCCTCTAGGCCTCATTCCAGATATTCTGACTTTGTTCGTCTGTGACAAGGTGGTATTTAAAAAAATGCTCCACATGTGATTCTGCAGCACAATCAGAATTAAAACCCACTGGGTTGGTGGGAGGATCTTTAATCTTACAAAGTTCTGCTCTTGTCTCTCCTCCAGAGATGCCTTGGTGCCACCTTTGACTTCCACTTCACGGTAGCCATCAGGAGCAACAGTGTCAGGAAGGCACACAAGACAGCTGGGTGCTCTGTGGAGAGAGGAACTGATGCCATTGAAATCCTAACCAGAGGACTTGTCATCTACTCTGGCAGCAAAGAGGGATGCTAACTCTCTTGCTGTGGTGTGTGAGCTTCCTTAGCCATCGGTCCTTTCATGTAACTCGTATCTATCTGAAGGGACATAGATGACAACCGGGCCTTTCGGGTTTCACACATACGCTTCACCAGACAGGTAGCTGACCCCGTCATGGGAACACAAACTTTCCAGCCCGAAATACCTAGGTAGCCACCTGCAATTACCTGGCTTGTGAAATAAACAGTACCCACCTGAGGGAGAATAATTGGGAAATGGATCCAGAATTTGGACCAAACATTATAAAAATAATTTGGGAAATAACGAAAGAGGTTAAGCACATGATGAAAAAGCAAGAAATCATTGAAAAGAACCAAGTGGAAATTTTTAGGTGTGAACAGTACAATAGTTGAAGTAAAGGACACAAGAGATGGATTGCCAGCAGGATGGAAATAGCTGGAGAACAGCTAATTACATGGAGAATCAAGTTGAGGAATTCTTCCAAAAAGTAGCAGGAAATGATGAACAGGAAAAAGAACTATTCTTAAATGTTTTCAAATAGGGAAGACAGATGTAGAAGTGCCAATATTCAGAAAATAAGAACTGTAGGAGAGAGAAAAATGGATAAAATAAAATATTTAAAGAAATAGTGAAGATTCAACTTGCTAAAGTTGAAAATAAGAGTCCTTGGCTTGAAAAGCTTACAGAACACCAAACAAAAGAAATAAGGAGAAATCCACATCCATGTTCCAGCAGCACACAGGCACATCCAAGAAAACTTTATGTTTTTGGAGATGAAGCAGATTGCCACCAAAAAGGAATCAGAGCAATATCAAGAAGATACTGCAAAGAATAGATAAAACAAGAAAGACTAGCTATAAATATTGTCATACTTAAGAACTAAAGGTTAATATACTTAAGAAGTAAAGGTTAAAAGATCTTAAATTAATGACAACCAACATAAGACCAAAAATATAAACTTTAAACCAACAAAAGGAAATTCTATCAAAAGACAGCAGCAGAGAAAAAAGAAACAACTAGAGATCCTTATAAGTATAAACTGTGAGATATGTTCTGAAACAACAAAAACTACAATAAATGCAAATGAATTAAACTTACTAATAGGAAGACATAGATACCTCAGATTATGCTTTTAAAATAATCAGTATTATACCTTTTAAAATAAGAAATAATAAAAAAGACAAAGAACTTTGGAAAAATCGAACACCATATTAAATGCAGACATCAAAAAGACCGGAAATCCTGACGTGCAACATAATATTTAACATAAAAATACCATAATGACCACAGCAGGAGCTTGAATAGTAAGAAAAGGAACAATATGACAAAAACCGTAACCAACAGAAACCTATATTCATCTAAAAATGTGTTCTAAAAATATATCAAGTAACAATAGTCAGAGCCAGAGAGATGTTGATAATTCATTATTTGTAGTTGGCTCTTTTATATTCCCCTCAGAACTGGACAGATGTTCTGAAATTTCCCAGTAATGTACTTTAGTGTGGACCTGTTTTTATCCATCTTACTGAGTACTTGTGGGTCTTTTCAATTTGGAAAGTCACGTTCCACTTTGGGGAAATTTTTAGTATTGTTTTGTCACAGATAAACTCCCCTGTGTTTTTCTGTTATTGGTGGAACTCTTTATTTGGGGATAACCGTCTTTAGAATGTTTTCTCATTTTCCTCTTTTCTTGCCTGTATTCTAGATCTTTGTCTTTTTTAATCTACTTTCTGGGAGATATCCTCATCTATATCTTTCAAGCCTGCTGCTGACTTTTTAAAAATTCTCCTACCATATTTTTAACTTTAAGAGGTCTGTTTTGGTCTCAGAATATTGCTTTTCTTAAAATAGAATCCTATTCCTATTTCACATTTGTGGTACTTCATCCCTTTGAGGAAACTAATACTTTTTAAAAAGATATTTTCTTCTCCCTGAATCATATCTGTTTCTCTAAACACTCCTGTATTGATTCTAATTGCAGCTGTAAAACTTTAACACAAGTATATTATTTTAGAGTCCTGTAGGTTAGAAATTTAGCATGGTTTCACCGAGCTGAAATCGTGGTGTTGGAAGGACCATTTCCCTCCGGAGGCTCTGGGGAAAATATTTTGTTGCCTTCTTCCAGCTTTTAGAGACCACCCACATTCTTTGCTTTCTAGCCCCTTTCCCACATATTTAAAGCCGATAATGTCACATCTCTATGACTCTTCTTTGGTTGTCACATCTCCTCCTGACCATGACAAAAGAAAATTCTTGGCATGAAAGGATCCACATGATTAGATTGGGATCATTGGGAAATCCAGGATAATCTCCTCATCTCAGAGTCAGGCCATTAGCAACTCTAATTGCATTTGCAAATTTAAACCTGCAGAAGTGTCATATAACCTAACATAGTGACTTGTTCTGAAAATTAGGGCGTGGATACTTTGAGGAGCTATCTGCCTACCATACTCCGCTTTTTGGTTTTGTTCTCCAATTTGCATGTTAAAGGCTTTCCTCAGATGTCTGATGATCTTTAGTCATTTGTACATATGTAAGAATGGGGGGCTCAAAAGGTTATTGGAAGCTGGTGCTGTGAATGACCTTTTCCATGGGCAGCCTCATGTGAGTGTCTCAGCTCTTTGCTGTTGGGCTGGGAGGCTCCCCGGAGCAGACTTGTGCAGTCTCCCGCCTGGAGGAAGAAGGCCTAGTCACCAGAGCTGTGTAAACTAAGAAGAGATTTGGGAGTTTCACCATCCAGGATGTATATGTTTGTTTAATTCCTTTGTGTCCCCCAACTATGCCTGGTATCCCTCAGGCAGGGACTAGATATTCTGTCTTCTGCCTGGGTATGAAACTTTGGGGTGCAGTGCTATCTCTTAAACTGTCTCTTAAACAGATATTCAATCAGTCTTTGAATGTTTAATCAGATCTTTACCACTATTTCCAGAGATGTTGGATGACTATTGCTGAGTTATATGGGGACTCTTTCTGTAAACTGGATTGGTTCTTGGATTCATCCTTTGCTGCCTTACAACTCAGCTTTATTAGTTCTTGTTTAAGGGTCATTTATCTATCTGCTTTCCAGCTACCAAATTTTGTTGCTGTTTTTTTCCTGTTGGTCTTTGTTAACAGATGCCCTATTTGTTGTTATTAACCTCTTTCCTGTTGTTTTAATGAGGTTTCTAAAGGCAGCAGAGCTGAAGGCTTAGGTTCAAGTCATGATTCTTAACTGGAAGTTGGTATGTTTTTCCTGTAGTTGTTGAGTCCACTGTGCAGCAGGGAGCAGGGGAAGTATCTTGTCCCACGGTGGGTGCCTACAATTTTTCCCCTTTTGTAGGAGGTGGATCAACTGTATCAAAGAGATGTCAAAACCTTGGGCATAACCTAAAAGGGTACCTGTCTCCTTTCATGGCTCCACGCTTCACTCTCTGATTCTTGGGAGCCATGATATGAGCAGCTATTTCTCCACCATACCATCCTGCCTCAGATGTCAACTAATTATGGAGAGAAACATGAGCCCAAATAAACCTCTCCTTCTTTTCACTCTCCCAGTGATGAGAAAGGTAAGCCAGATTTTAATACCAGAGAAGTGGGGCCATTGCTACAACTATACCTGACCATGTGGTTCAGAAGCCTTTGGAACTGGTTTGAGGGAGGAGTTTGGAAAGATTTGGAGATGCTAGATAGAGAAGCCCTAAAGTACTGTAAGGAGTGCTCGGTAAGAGATTCTGCCAGAGCTCAGAAGACCAGAATGGTGATAAAAATGCAGATGATAAAGACTAGCTGAGGAGGTTCCAGTTGAGAACAAGAACTCCGTTGGTAGTTGGATTCCAGGTCACATGTGTTATACTCTGGCAGAGTTTGTGTACATTTTGCCCATGTCCTGAGACTTTGCAGGAGACTAAGATTAAGAGCAGTGGACTAATTAATCTGGTGGAGGAAATTTCAAGGCAGCCCAACATTTAGTCTGTAGCGTGGTTATTGCTTCTGCTTTTAGTAAGATCTAATGTAAGAAAAAAGAGCAAAAAGCCCATTTAAAAGGTTTTCAGTTTTGTCAGAAATAAAGAACCTACAAAGATAGAGCAGAGGAGAGAGCAATTGCTGAAAGAATTAGTATTAAAAACAAGCAAAGTACTTTACAAAAAGAGAATAGGAAATATGCCTTGAGGCAGGCATCTACAAGGCAAAAACACCCATATGCATTGAAGGCTCCAAGGTGCAAATCTGTGAAACTTTCATTTGCTGGTTTTTTGAGTTTTTTTTGTTGTTGTTGCTGTTGTTTTTGTTTTTTTGAGACAGGGTCTTGCTATGCAGTTCAGGCTGGCCTTAAGCTCACTTTGTAGCCCAGGCTGGTCTAGAGCTTGCAGTGATCCTCCTGCTTCAGCCTCCCAAGTTCTGAGATTACAGGTGTGCATCAGAAACTTTCATTTGAGAAGAGAGCCCAAGACACCACTTCAAGGAAAAAAATCTCAGCAACTTAGGAAATTTTTTTTCCTGGGATTTGATTCATACTGCTCAGCCATGCAGGTCTCAGACACCCATACATCCACGATAAGGGGGTCCATCTACTGCTCAAGCTGGCAGCTATCCTTGGCATCATCTGAATGGTGCTGGTTTTGCAAGCATGCAGAATGCAACAGTCTTGAGGTCAGGAAGTATTTCACTCAGATTTCAGAAGAAGGCCTGGGAGGTCAATATGTGAAGCTGTGAGAGTGAAGCTGAATGTGCACTGGAGACCCCACAAACTTGGAAAAGCCGGTCACATGGAACATCTTAGGAAAGCCACAAGGAATGAGCAAAGACAGCCCAAGATAGCCCATGAGAGCTGCAACCACCAGCAATGCTGTAGGTGCAGGCCTGCGCCAGCCCTGTGGAGCTGTCTGTGTTAAGGGCCACCAGTGTCACACTCCAACAGGTATTTACTGATGAAGTGACTCTGATTTTTCTTAGCTTCAATGATTCTGCCTGGACCTGCGTGACATCTTTGTGTGTGCATGAAAGCATGCTATAAGTTTCATTTAGTATTGTAGCTGATATCGTATGTGCTTAAAGAGAGGGCAACCCAGAACAAAAAGTACCTCTACCTATTCTCTAATTGAGGATACTCTCAAAATGTTGTCCAATTTAAATGTAATACAAACTTGAGGGCACAGCTGAAGTAAATGTTTAGTTATAAATCTTATTAGAATAAGTTCATTACATATACAACTTAAAATTATATAGTATAAAAATTTGAATTTACTGCTTTCTGCCAGTCCTAGTCTAACAAACAGTTTTATTCAAACTCTTCACTACCATCTTGGACATCAGTGTTTCTGTCGTTGGTAGAGCCAATTTTTGGATCATCCAACACAATAGTCAGCACAGTATTCATTTCCATTTGAGGCAGTGAGATATGTGCATGTTTGAACCTATATTTTTGCTACTACAGATACTTTCATCCCAAACACAATAACCCATTATGTGAGGACAGGTTTTTGGAGTTTAATTTGTCTTGGTGGTGAATGTGCATGATTTTCACAGACAACCATTTCCCGTATTGATTTTAAAGTGAGCTTTAAAAGGCTTGTTTACAAAGACATCTGACAGTTGCAATTGTGAGGTGATACCTCCAGCGATAATTACTAAATCTGCGTCAGATTTCTTTGCCTTCCTCCCTTACTGGCCCTGTCGGGTGACATCTTTAATCATCACAAACCAGCATTGATTGAGGTCATTTCAGGCTGATGTTCCTTCCCTATACAAGATTTTTGTTCAAAATAAAGAAATTGAAAGTACATTCCCATAGTAAGAGACTTCTGTCAGGAATCAAAATCAGGGCAGCTCTTTTCTGAAAGCTAAATTTTAGAAACATATATTTGGAATAAATCCCACCATATATTTGTTTAATCACTTATTGTTCCCTTTTCATCATGATCTCGTTTCTGGGTCCAGCACTCTGATCCTGGAGCCAGAGGGCTCTAAGTGCTTTGGATTTTTATGTACTGATGCCTTTTGGTTTTTTTTTTTTACCTCTAGTCTGGCCATCACCCTTGATCTCCAAATTACATTTATACATGGTAACTCACCATTTCCAATTAATGTGTAACAGATATCTCAAATTTAAAACACCAAACACAGAATACCAAAGTATTGATTGGTTTTCTCCCTTTCCCAGAAACTCATCTTTCTCCACTCTTCCCCTTCTCCATTAAAGGCTCAGTCATCCCCTTTGTTACTCAGGTTCAAACCCTATAGGGTCATTCTACATTCTTTCATTTCCTAATTGACTCCCACATCATTCATGCCATGGTCTATCAGCTCTCCAAAATTACCACTGATTTGATCAGTTCTAACAATTTCTATCACTCTGATCCAAGCTACTAATTCCCCCGATCATGAAGGCTTAAACTCATGTCCCTGTGTTCATTCTTGACCCCACGTAACAACTCTCCACCCAACAGAGGGACCCTTTTAAATCCTAAATCATTAATTCCTATCTCTCCAGTGGATTCTCTTTACATGTAGAATAAAATCCAAAGTTCTCATGAGGCCTAGAAGACTGCCTCTCAGCCTTTAATGCACATACCAATCACTAAGGGACCGTTGTGTATATATCCTGACCCTGTAAATCGGCGGGCAGGCCTGGGACTTTGCATCCTGCTGGCCCACAGAGTGCTCTGAGAATAGTAACGGCCTTTAGAACCAGACACACTGACTCCTGCCTCTTTAGTTTTCTTCCTACTCCTGTCGCCTTCCTTCAGCTCACACTGCCCATTTTGGAATTCTTTCCTTTCTCAAAAACACCAAGGTTCAATTCCTTTTAAAAGCATGTTTACATGTGATTCTCCGTTTCTGGAACATTCTGTCTTCAGATATCCACAGAACTTTCCCTGTCATTTCACTGAAGTGTCTGCTTCACTGTCATCATCCTAACTGAAATCCCCCAAATACACCCATTCTACAACCCTCATTCTGTGTTTCCTTTTTTCCTAGCACTCATCATTCCATGATAGCTTTTTCTATAATATACATACTAATTTTTGACATTACTCTTACTTGCTTATTGTCTGTATTTCTACTAGAACATGGGCCTTTTTATGGCCCAAACTGTTTTGTTCACACTTTATTCTGAGAGCCTAGTACCACGCTTGTGTTCCATAAATATTTGTTAAATGAATGAATGAACAAATGTCTTCTTTGGAAACTCCGGTTCTCCATATGGTGGATCACATATTTGGTTCTCCACTCTTCTTTCCCACAACTTTCATTCTTTTTCTTTTACCACTGCATTTATGACACCTTCTCAGCGCTGATAGTTTGATGTGCTTTAATTTCACTCCATTTCTTTGTTACTTGTAGTGTAGTCTAAAATTATGCTATGGTATTATTCATTTTTTAATTTTTTATGTTATTAGTTTCTTGCAATAAACACAATCTCAACCAGGCTTCCATTTATCTCATAATACTTCATTATCATGTCTCATCTCATTGTGTTTTGTTGGTTCCTTAGATTTTGTTTTTTTATTTTATTAGTAAATTTTTCAATAGGTTTTTCAATAGGTTCTACATTTTTAAAAACATACTTAGAACTTAAACTTTTGGCAAATGGGCTTTTTGAGTTGTTTTTCTTTTGCCATATGGCAGAATGTTGAAGTTGTGTCCCAACATCCACATGGAACCTCAAGACAAAGGATGGGAGAATAATTGGCCCATGGCATATAAAACCACCACTGTCCCATTATTTGTAGCTAAGCTGTGCAAACAGACTTTAGTGGTGACATGTAATAAAAACTACTGATTTTACAGAATATTAATCATATGAATGTACTCAAAATTCATGTACTGGAAACTTAATTTCCAGGTGTATATGTTGATGGTATTTGGAGGTAGAGCCTTTGGGAGGTAAGCAGTTTTATGTCTTGTGTCTAGATGTTCCCCCAAAGCCTCATGATGTCATAAATGGGGCTTTTTCAGAGGTGGCTAGGTCTAGAATGTGTAATGCTGGGATTGATTCATGGTGCAATTCTAGGATTAAGGGCACTAGGATTAAAGGTGTGTGATTACTAAATTAGTTCATTGATTGTTTTGGTACTCTCCCTAAGCCAGGTAGTCTAAATAGGGAATAAAAGGGACAGAAAGACGCTGCTATTGTTGCTTGATGGTTATTACTTCATTGCTGGCTACTTTCTGCCTGCTCTGCTTTGCCATAGACTGTTTCTCCTCTGTCATTCCCTGTGCCATGCCACCATGCCTTGGAGTCAACCAACTATGGACTGAAACATCTACAATCTGTGAGCTAAAGAAACCTTTTGTTATTTAACTTTGGGTGTTGGGTATTTTGTTTCAGCAACAAGAAAAGTATCAGAAGAGGAACAGAGGCCTGAGCTAGCATGCTCTTTGTCTTACATATGGTTACTTGGACTTCTGTCATGTTATGAGCAGCATAAAGACTCTCACCAGATGCTCTTAGGCTTCCCAGTCTCCAAAACTATAAGAAATAAGTTTCTGTTCTTTCTAAGTTAACTACAATGTGGTATTTTGTTTAGCAAAAATGAACAGCCTAAAAACAAAGAATAATTTAGAAAAGACAC